ATTCCTGGAGCCCCGGCCCTGTGTTGTATCCTCGGTACACTGTACGTCATTCCTGGAGCCCCGGCCCTGTGTTGTATCCTCGGTACACTGTAAAGTCATTCCCGGAGCCCCGGCCCTGTGTTGTATCCTCGGTACACTGTACGTCATTCCTGGAGCCCCGGCCCTGTGTTGTATCCTCGGTACACTGTACGTCATTCCTGGAGCCCCGGCCCTGTGTTGTATCCTCGGTACACTGTACGTCATTCCTGGAGCCCCGGCCCTGTGTTGTGTCCTCGGTACACTGTACGTCATTCCTGAGCCCCGGCCCTGTGTTGTGTCCTCGGTACACTGTACGTCATTCCTGGAGCCCCGGGCCCTGTGTTGTATCCTCGGTACACTGTACGTCATTCCTGGAGCCCCGGCCCTGTGTTGTATCCTCGGTACACTGTACGTCATTCCTGGAGCCCCGGCCCTGTGTTGTGTCCTCGGTACACTGTACGTCATTCCTGGAGCCCGGCCCTGTGTTGTATCCTCGGTACACTGTATGTCATTCCTGGAGCCCCGGCCCTGTGTTGTATCCTCGGTACACTGTACGTCATTCCTGGAGCCCCGGCCCTTTGTTGTATCCTCGGTACACTGTACGTCATTCCTGGAGCCCCGGCCCTGTGTTGTATCCTCGGTACACTGTACATCATTCCTGGAGCCCCGGCCCTGTGTTGTATCCTCGGTACACTGTACGTCATTCCTGGAGCCCCGGCCCTGTGTTGTATCCTCGGTACACTGTACGTCATTCCTGGAGCCCCGGCCCTGTGTTGTATCCTCGGTACACTGTACGTCATTCCTGGAGCCCCGGCCCTGTGTTGTATCCCCGGTACACTGTACGTCATTCCTGGAGCCCCGGCCCTGTGTTGTATCCTCGGTACACATGTACGTCATTCCTGGAGCCCCGGCCCTGTGTTGTATCCTCGGTACACTGTACGTCATTCCTGGAGCCCCGGCCCTGTGTTGTATCCTCGGTACACTGTACGTCATTCCTGGAGCCCCGGCCCTGTGTTGTATCCTCGGTACACTGTACGTCATTCCTGGAGCGCCCCGGCCCTGTGTTGTATCCTCGGTACACTGTACGTCATTCCTGGAGCCCCGGCCCTGTGTTTGTATCCTCGGTACACTGTACGTCATTCCTGAAGCCCGGCCCTGTGTTGTATCCTCGGTACACTGTACGTCATTCCTGGAGCCCCGGCCCTGTGTTGTATCCTCGGTACACTGTACGTCATTCCTGGAGCCCCGGCCCTGTGTTGCATCCTCGGTACACTGTACGTCATTCCTGGAGCCCCGGCCCTGTGTTGTATCCTCGGTACACTGTACGTCATTCCTGGAGCCCCGGCCCTGTGTTGTATCCTCGGTACACTGTACGTCATTCCTGGAGCCCCGGCCCTGTGTTGTATCCTCGGTACACTGTACGTCATTCCTGGAGCGCCGGCCCCGTGTTGTATCCTCGGTACACTGTACGTCATTCCTGGAACCCGGCCTTTTTGTTGTATCCTCGGTACACTGTACGTCATTCCTGGAGCCCCGGCCCTGTGTTGTATCCTCGGTAAAACTGTACGTCATTCCTGGAGCCCCGGCCCTGTGTTGTATCCTCGGTACACTGTACGTCATTCCTGGAGCCCGGCCCTGTGTTGTATCCTCGGTACACTGTACGTCATTCCTGGAGCCCCGGCCCTGTGTTGTATCCTCGGTACACTGTACGTCATTCCTGGAGCCCCGGCCCTGTGTTGTATCCTCGGTACACTGTAAAGTCATTCCTGGAGCGCCGGCCCTGTGTTGTATCCTCGGTACACTGTACGTCATTCCTGGAACCCCGGCCTTGTGTTGTATCCTCGGTACACTGTACGTCATTCCTGGAGCCCCGGCCCTGTGTTGTATCCTCGGTACAAATGTACGTCATTCCTGGAGCCCGGCCCTGTGTTGTATCCTCGGTACACTGTACGTCATTTCCCCGGAGCCCCGGCCCTGTGTTGTATCCTCGGTACACTGTACGTCATTCCTGGAGCCCCGGCCCTGTGTTGTATCCTCGGTACACTGTACGTCATTCCTGGAGCCCCGGCCCTGTGTTGTATCCTCGGTACACTGTACGTCATTCCTGGAACCTTGGCCCTGTGTTGTATCCTCTGTACACTGTAAGTCATTCCTAGATCCCCGGTCCTGTGTTGTATCCTCGGTACACTGTACATCATTCCTGGAGCCCCGGCCCTGTCTTGTATCCTCGGTACACTGTACATCATTCCTGGAACCCCGGCCCTGTGTTGTATCCTCGGTACACTGTACGTCAATCCTGGAACCCCGGCCCTGTGTTGTATCATCAGTACACTGTACGTCATTCCTGGAGCCCCGGCCCTGTGTTGTATCCTCGGTACACTGTACGTAATTCCTGGAGCCCCGGCCCTGTGTTGTATCCTCGGTACACTGTACGTCATTCCTGGAGCCCCGGCCCTGTGTTGTATCCTCGGTACACTGTACG